GGTGACCTGTGCACACAGGGCCGTGCGTGTACGGGTGATGGGTGTGGCCGGACGTTACCACAGATCATGGCCAGCACCCGGATCCCTCTGGTGCCTGGGCAGCTGTGCACACAGGGCCGTGCGTGTACGGGGCACAGGTGTGGCCAGGTGTGGCCCACACCGTCGATCTTGTTCTGTTGGATGGGTTTCCAGAACGTCTGGTTAAGATGCCCCGACAGCACCAAGAGCAGCGAGGGCTGTTGGCTGCGGATGCGCTAACGCCTCATGACAGTCTCCATCAGGTGAGCATCAGGCTGGTGGCCACATTCCACAGGGCCACTTTTCAGCGTTGACAAGATGGCTGGAGCATAACCTGCCGTGAGGCCAGCAACGTTCCCACTGTGTGAGTTAGCGGGGTGGGCTGGGGGCTGCCTTGGTGCATGCTGTCCTGGGTGGAGATCGGGCTGTTCGTGGGTGTGTGCGGTTTCTCTGGTGCGCCAGGCTCAGAGTTGGATTGTGGCCCCTGTTTCTGAAGTGCACCTCAGAATCAACACTGAGAAGCAAGCAGCCTCTTTTCAGAAAGGGATGCAGGCCAGCTGGTGGGTCAGCAGGGACACTCCTGCTGTGCTGGCCGCCCCAGACGGTGTCGGGCCTCCACACAGCAGAGCACCCTGCTTGGGATTGCCTACCTCTCTCCCGTGCATGGAGGAAACACACACACTTTCAAAAAGGAAACTATTTTGTTCCTAAAAAACCTGTTTTTTTCAATTTACAAGAAAAAAATATTTTCCCTGTTTTCGCTGGTACATCAAGTAATGAGTGTGCACTGTCAGCTCGAGATGCTTGAATGGGGTTGTGGTGCCCCGCTCTTGTGCTCGGTGATCTCATGCCTTGGTGCACACGCACGTGGGCAGGAGGTGGGGGGCATGCTCGGTGTCCAGATACTCTGGGGTGGACACAGGGAAGGCAGCAGGACTTGCCTCTCATGGAGGCTCCGTAGGTGTCGGCCATTACTGGGTCGGTACCACAGCCCAGCTTACAGGACGCACAGGGCACCGGGCCGAAGCCCTGCTCTCCTGTGCCTTTCCGTGTTGTCTGTGCTCCTGCCAGACTGCGCAGGCGTCATGGTCCAGGACACCTTGACCGCTGTGTGTAGGGACGATGAGGACCTCATAATCACAACCCGCTAAACGCGCCCATGTCCCCTGGCGGGGG